TTAACTCTGTGCTGATGACACAAAGGCAGAACCAGGAGGCCAGGAGGCAAAGGCAAGGCTGCTTGGGGACTGGTTTCCAAGACCAGGAAAAGAGCAGGTCTGGGGTTTACCCAGGGATAGTTCAGACCTACGGAGTCAGACAGCCCTGGTGTGAACCCTGCTCCCAAGGCCACAGTTGAGGGGAGCCACTCAGCTGGCTCCATGGTGGTACCCTCTGGAAGTCTTTGGGCTGCAAGAAGGGGGCGCTGTTTCTCCTACCCACCTGTCTGCACCCAGCCCTCCTGGCACTCCGGGGTCCTGGGCAGTCCTGGGGACTGTGTGGACAACTGCTGCTGTGACTGGAAGGGACAGGCTCAGTCACACGTGGGAGAGTTCTTGCCCCAGGACGCCCTGCAGTGACACAGTAACCTGCCCTCTTTGAGATGGTGGCAGCTTGGACAATAAATAATTTCCCTGCAACCTGCAGGGAGCATGTAACATGGGCAAGAAACCAAATCCTGTTACTTTTAAACTGCTGTTACTGGGATTCTTAATGTAAAAAGCCTGGTCTGCCTGGAATCCCAGAAAGTCAGCCAATAAATGCAGTGACCTAAAAAAGACTTGAAAGTCCTAGAATAACCTACTTCCCTCCCTCCTTTCTTCCTTCCCTGAGTCCTCTCTCACTTCCTCCTTCCCTTTCTTCTTTCCTTCCAGTGCTAAGGAGACCATTGGTGGTGATGGAGATTGAACCAGGGTAGGACATATGGAGTACAAGTGCCTTAACCCCTGTACCAACTCTCAGACTTTTGCGTATGGTGTGAGATAGGGTGCAATTTCCTTCTTCTGTCTATGGCTATCCAGTTTTCCCAATACCTTATTTTTTTGCTTTTTGGGTCACACCCGATGATGCACAGGGGTTACTCCTGGCTCTGTACTCAGGAGTTATTCCTGGCGGTGCTCAGGGAACCATAAGGGATGTTGGGAATCGAACCCGGGTTGGCCACGTGCAAGGCAAACGCTCTACCCACTGTGCTACTGCTCCAGCCCTTTCCCAATATCATTTCTCGAAGGGACTTCCCTTTCTCCATTTTATGCCCTTGGCTCCTTTGTCATAAGTTAGCTGTCTATGTATGTCTGGGCTCATGACTGAGCTCCTCCCTCCCTCCTTCCTTCTTTCCTCTCTTCTCCAGTCAGCCTGGCTGCGTGTCCATGTGCTACAGGCACAGTTCTCTGTCAGTGAGGCCAGTGCAGCAGCATCTCCTCAGTGTGGTCCCAGATGTTTTATGTCACAACCTCCTGGAGGTCTCCTCCAAAGTGTAGCCTCCGGGGTCCCACCCAGGCGCACTGCCTCTTGACTGACATGTACCCTGAGGGTGGAGGGCTGCTTCAGAGTGTTCCTGTGTTGGTTTGAACGGGAAGCTTCTGTCCTTGTAAGGACTTGGGGGCAATGTGAAATGTGACTGTAAGGGAACAGAGACATGAGGTGCAGATTCTGTTCCCTATTTCTGTGTTTACTGGGAAATCATCAGACTAAAATGGAAAACAAAGCAACAGGAGAGAAAATGCAGATATAGTGGAGCAATCCTGTTGGCAAAACACCCTTGGGGAGAGCAAGGCCAGTGGTTAAAGAAAGAGCAAGCTAGGCTGGAGAGATAGGACGCTGGGTGAGGCGTCTGCCTTGCATGTACCTGACAGGGTTGGATCCCTGGCACCCCACATGGTCTCACAGGCACCACCAGGAGTGATCCCTGGGTACAGCGCCAGGAGTAAGCCCTAAGCAATGCCAGATGAGGCTCAAAAGCCAAAACCAAAACAGTCTGATGACAGTCGGATTTTCTCACCCTTTCCAAAAGGCCCAACACCCCCCCACACACACACAAACAACATCCCCCACCATGTGAATGGGCCAGCTTCACAGCTCACGAACGATCTTGAAGAGACGCCAAAGCTGCCTCATCCCCATCCCACAGTTCCTGAAGCATGCGGCCACATACGCGGCCACACGACACCTCCCAATTTCACTGTACTGACAGCTCCGTAGGAGCACAAAAAAACTAGATGGGGGAGTTGTGTATTACTGAATTTTTTTTAATTTCACTTATCCCATTCTGGAAATCATGTTTTCCTTCTTGGCCTGTTTTGTTCTCTTAAATCATCATCTGTCATGCAAAATATGGTTCTTTAGAATCTGCTTTCTGCTTTCCTGGACTTTTGTTTCTTCGTTTCTACTTTCTGATTCTAGTCTGTGATTTTCTTAGCTTTCTTGGTCTGTTTTCTTCACTAGCCTTAGAAATATATGGTGAAATAAGAAATGAGAGCACTGTAGCACTGCATTGTCCTCCCATTGTTCACTGATTTGCTTGAGCGGGCACCAGTAACGTCTCACAACAAATTGTGAGACTTGTTACTGGTTTTGGCATATTGAATACGTCACGGGGAGCTTGTCAGGCTTTGCTGTGCGGGTGAGATACTCTCAGTAGCTTGCCGGGCTCTCTGAGAGGGACGGAGGAATCGAACCCAGGTTGGCCATGTCAGCCGCGTGCAAGGCAAACACCTTACCCACTGTGCTATTGCTCCAGCACAAGAAATGAGAGATTTTATGTAAGTCAAGCTTCCAGAATGCTTTCATTTGGGACGTGACTTGTCCATTGCCTTTTTATCCCCTTTTCTTGTAATAACTTCATTAAGGGCTGGATAGCACAGCGGGTAGGGCGTTCGCCTTACAAGCGGCCAACATGGCTGACCCGAGTTCGATTCCTCTGCCCCTCTCGGAGAGCCCGGCAAGCTACCGAGAGTATCTTGCCCACACGGCAGAGCCTGGCAAGCTCCCCGTGACGTATTCGATATGCCAAACACAGTAACAACAAAGTCTCCAATGGAGACGTTACTGGGCCCGCTCAAGCAAATCGATGATCAACGGGAGGGCCTTTACCTTTACCTTTTACCATTAAGTATCTGACCACCACCCTTTCTCTTGTTCATTTTTATCTGAAATGAGTTTTCGTGCACATTTAGGAGGGAGCACTGATTCAGGCTAATTTTGTTCAATGTAAACAAATTTCAAAGGATGGGGTTAAAATATTATAACTTGCTCTTTTTTAATGACCATGAGCCTGCCCCCCTCCCCCCGCCCCATTACATCCCAAGTCACACCTCATCACCATTTCTTTCATCCTGGGACCTAGGGGCTCTCTCAGATGCTTCCCTCAGGAAATAACAGAGCCTCAAAAGATGTTTAGGAACCACAATTAAAGACAAAATAATAGAACCTAAGATCCTCCAAGACTCCCATTTGAAAGAATTTTTTTGTTGTTGTTTTCTGGAAATCTACTGTCAGAAACTGCAGCAGAGACCAATATTAGGTTCCTCATGATTTCTTGGCATCTTGACATGTTTCTCCAACAAGCTACAGACCTGCTACCTTGAGGGAGAGTAAGGAAGGGAAGGCGGGAACGGCATGTGTCGGGGATTTACAGAACTTCCACAAATCAGAACCACTGCTGTGGGCAGCAGGGATGATCAAGAAAAATTGACTAGGGCACCATGTTCAGAGGGGGGCCCTCAGAGGTACAGATGCCGAGTTCTCCAAAGAGAAGCAAAAGAAGGATGTAGCTGAAGAAGCCGGGGGCGGGGGCTGGAGCGAGAGTAGAGCAGGCAGGGTGCCTCCCTTGCTCACAGCCACCCAAAGTTCAATCTCCAGCATCCCACAGGTCTTCCATGAAGCACCAGGACTAATTCTTGAGCACAGAGCCAGGACTTTGCCCTGAGCACTGCTGGGTGTGACCCCCCAAAACAAAACAAAACAAAAACAAAAACAAAAAGAGGACTGGGGAGTGAAGGGGTTAGTAGCTCATAGCTGCTGTCTCCAGAAACTGAAGGTAACAAAAGGGGAAGAACTCGGCTAGTTGGGGCTGGAGCAACAGTACAGCAGGTAGGGTGTTTGCCTTGCATGCTGCCGACCTGGGCTCGATTCCCGACATCTCATCTAGTCCCCCAGCACCACCAGGAATAACTCCTGAGTGCAGAGCTAGGGAGTAACCCCAGAGTGTGACCAAAATCAGAAAAACAAACAAAAAATCCCAAACTCTCGGCTGTTCAGGAGAGGGGAAGGCTTAGTCTAGAACACATCTGGCCCGTGACTGTCACCGGCCTCGGGAGCTGTGAGAAAGGGGGAAGGCTGAGGGTCCTGTACCAGGCCAACGTGCGTGGCCCCCTGCACCCGCTGCCTGTGCTGTTTGCACAGAGAGTGGGACACAGCACCTGGCAGGTCCCCTGGGGGCACCCGGAGCTGGTGCAGCTGGAAGGTGGGCAAGACTTCCCGTGTTCCCTCGTGTCATATTGAAGGTATGAGGGATGCCTCTCCTGACAGGGCAGCAGGGACAGGAGGGACCGTGACCCCATCCTGCCACAGCCACCCCCTGCCGGGTCCCTTCTAAGGATGAAAGAAGCCTCAGTTAGGGTGACTGTCCCTCTTCACTGTCCTCTGGCCAGCGAGCCATGCCACCTGGAGAAGGGATCAGAAGAGCTTTTCTACAACCTGTGCCCCAACACCCTCTGAGCCCACGGCTCCCGCCTGACAGGAGGGAAGGGGCCCCATCCGCTACGGTGAGCATGAGTTGGCCCCAGCAGCCACCAAATGCTGCAGGTCACGTGTCCACAGAGAATCGGTGGTCCAGGTCACCAGGCATGGCGCTGATGCTGGGAGGTTTCCCGGCACCCTCTGGTTCAGTGACCTGGGAACAAAGACAAACCGTCCCCTCCCAGTTGAGCCTGACCTAGGCTCAGACCGGGGGCCACTTTAGGAGGACAAGTGCTTGCAGTGAAGAGGTCACTGGGGAACTGCAACAAGGGTAGGTCCAGTTCCGGCATGCGGCAGGGAGGGGCAAGCAGCCCGGGCCAGGCCTCTGTATTTCACTCCAAAGCAGCACCCGAACGCAGGGATCACACACCGGTGAGAAAGGAGGAGACACACATGCTGAATACCATTTAATCGCTGGGGGCCGACCAGGTCTCTGGGCTCTGGGCACCTCCAGCCAGCAACAGGGGGACAGGGAAGGGGTTGCTGGTCCTGGGCCTTTCCCGCCAGCTCCAGTCTTCCTGCTTGTTAGGTCCAAAAGAACCAACTCCAAACCCCGAACACTGAAACATAAGGAGAGTCGCTTTCAAGGAGCTGAAGTGTAGACACGGCCTTTGCTCCTCGGAGGATGACCCCAGCACACGGAGCCCTGGCAGCCTCTGTACTGAAGAGCGGGTCTGCATGTCTGAAAACCGGACCCCGTCAGCACTGCTATTTCCCGACCCCAGGAGGGTTTTATTAAAGAAGTTCTCACTGTAGTACAGCAGGTAGAGTTCTTGCCTTGCACAAGGCCAACCCAGGTTCAATCCCCGGCGCCCCTTATGGTCCCCCAAGCACTGCCACGGGTGTGGCCCAAAAGCAAAACAATCAAGTTCTCCCTAAATAACAGAGAAAGAGTTGAAGTATCACAAGGTGAAACTCCCGATGAATTAATGGATCCAGAGGTTTATTTAACAAAATGGCCATTAATGTCAACAATAGGAAGGAAACGAGATACTGTGAGCTTACAGACAGAAGGATTTAACAGGACTGAATGTGAATTCCAGCACCCACTGCTGACGTCCCTTTGGACTCTCCTCTGCACGGCTGGGTGCGTGCCGGGGGCACCTGTGAAAGAGCCACTCCACTCCCCCTGCAGTGTCCTACACTGTGAAACGCACAGCAGGGTACGCTCCTGTCTGAGTTCAGTTCCGCTCCCCAGATCTCGGCCTTGGGCCACACTCTCTGCTCTTTGGAGGACAGCATGGGCAGGGAGCCTGTGATGGCCACACGGCGCAGCTTCCGGCTGCTTCCTTCACTCACTCACTGCCTGGGGTGGGGGTGGGGGGGAGCACCCACTGTGCCCAGGCCACTTGGTGGGCTATTAAACTAGAGAGCAGAGTTCCTCAAGGTGGGTGATCGTCGGGGGGTGGGGGGGCGGGGAGCAGGGAAGAAGATCCCTGGAATGATTCAGGGGGTGGTGGGACCCTCAGGTGCAACTGGCCGGCACTTCCTGCTGATTCGTTTAAAGAAGGCAGATTTCCTGAAATTTTTCTGGAAACGGGACAGTGGGTCCAGTGGTGGGGGCCCTGGAGATGGATTTGATTGTAGAGACACACTGGGCTGGAGTGATAGTGCGGCAGGCTGCCCTGCCCGTGGCCAACTGAAGTTCAGTCGCACACACAGGCTCTGTGCACTGCACTGTCCCATGCAAGGGCACACACACTCACTCACACACACACACACACACGGTGCACTGCACTGTTCTACACAAGGGCACACACACACACACATACTTGGTGCAATGCACTGTTCCACACATGGGTGCACGTGTGGAACACACACAGCACACTGCACTGTTACATACACACGCATGCGTGCTTGGTGCACTGCACTGTTATGAACACACACACACGCTTGGCGTGCTGTACTGCTGCACATACACACACACACATACACGCACACATGCTCAGCACTCTGCACTGTTATACACACACGCTCGGTGCACTGCACTGTTATACACACACACACACACACACGCGCTTGGTGCACTACACTATTATACACACACGCTTGTATACTACATTGTTACATACACACAGACACACTCAGCACACTGTGCTGTTACACACACACACACGCTTGTGTACTGCACTGTTACACACACACAAACACACACACACACGCTTGGCGCACTGCACTGTACCACGTGCACGGGGGCGCAGCCTCCTCTTCTCAGCTGGACTTGGCCGCCACCGTGGTCCGGTTCGGAGCAGCTACAGTCGCTGGGATGTGGTCCATCTCCGGGGCATCAAAAAAGTATGCCTGAGGGAGCAGAGCCCCGAGAGTGAATAGATGGGCCGGTGGGCTCTGTGGTACCCTGCACGTGCACGCTGGCGGGGCTGCTGCCCGCCTGGGATCCCCCACCACACTGAGCCCCAGCCCCTCTGCTCTTGGCCCACTCGGTCCACTGACCGAGCACTCACTGCCTCTGATTTCATACTCCCAGACGAGAGGAATCCGCAAGCAGACACCAGGCTCGGGGCGCCCACACAGGCTCTGGGACTCCCGTGAGTACCTCTAACCAACGCCCAGGTGACACCGCACATAGACAATCGGCATGAACTTCCCGAACAGCTGAACCCACGGCACTGGGCGGGGACCTTCTGAGGACAGTGCCAGGCAGTGCCAGGCAGACTTGGGCTCACGACTCTGGCCTGGGAATGAAGGGTCTGGGAGGTGCTTCGCCCACTCCCCTCCTGCAATTTAACCGTCAAAATCAGGAGGCGAGGGAGGCAGCGTTGCTAGGAGAGCGACCTATCTCGGGGGCGGAAGGCCCACCGTGAGCCAGGAAAACACCTGCGTCTTTGACCAATGCTGGTGCTTCAAAGGCGGGCAAATTCCTTCAAAATCGAGAGCCAAGCCTGGAGGCCGGCTCAGGAGATACAAAGGCCCCTGCACCCCACCAGCCAGCAGGGGGCAGCAGCACGCGCTGGAGGGTCCCCACCTCACAGGGCTCCAGGTTAACTCGATTCCAAAAGACTTCCTGGAGAGGTGTCACTTCGCCAGACCCATCTGATCACTCTTCCCAGGGTCTGCCCCTGGCCCCTCCCAGAAGCTGCCTCTGAGTGCACAAAGAACTGTCCCTAGGCCAGGGACGGGGGAGATGGCCTGGGGACACGGAGCAGTCCCCTCTCCGGGTCCTGGAGGAAGTGCTGGTCAGACAGGGCACCAGAGGCCCAGGGTCTACCCTGGGGCTGGACATAACGCCCTGCCCCTGTGGGCCCTCTGTGTCTCAACAAAGACCCGGCCAAAGGGCAAGTTCTAGTTACAGGAGTGCCTAACTCCACCAACACTCACTAACAAGCCCCCGGTGTCTTTGGGGCGGGTGAGCCAGGCAGACACGGTCTGTCAGTCTACCTGAGAACTCTGTCACAGACGATCTGATGCCCATCCCATGTTCTGGTCTTTTTTGATGTCGTTGTAGGTTTCTGAGTCAGACTCAACTGTGCTCAGGGTTGATTCCTGGCTCTGTGCTCAGGGGTCGCTGCTGGTGGTGCTTGGGGGGCCCCGGGGGACGCTGGAGATCAATCTCAGGTGGGCGACGTGCAGGGCAAGCACCTAACCTGCCATACCATGGCTCTGACCCCTCGTGCCCGTTTTGAAGCCGAATGAACTGAGGCTGAGGAGCCAGAGCCAGCCCCGGGGCTGTACCACTGTCTGACTAGGACTTCAACACCAAACTGATGCCAAACTGATGGAGCTAACTGACTCCAAATAATTTTTACTCCTGGGCATCCAATATATTTACCTGACTTAAGGCTCGGTTGCCCTTACTTCTTAACACCCCCAAAAGGAGGGTCTTGACAACAGGACTGGATGGACCCAGGGCAAGCTGTAAGCTCCCCTGGCATGGAAAGCGGAGAAGCTAAGTACCTTACGTATAATAAGTTAAGAGCATGGTCATGGAACAAACTCTGTCATGACCCAAAAAGAAGAAACTGAATAAGGACCCTGCTGGGGTCAGGAAAGACTAACCTGGTCTGAGGACTGGTCTGGAATCTAAAGTGAGGTGTCCCCAGGTAGAGCCAACCTTTGAGCTTAATCTAGCTCTTACTGTGTTCATACAAAAGGACTAGAAACATTATAAGAAGTAAATTTACTGTGACTGTTTAAATGGATTGCTAGCTGAGGAAAGGAGAAAGCAACGCACCCTGGATGGAATCCCGCCCTTGAGCGGATTTCCTAGTAGTCTGGAGTACTGAACCCTCAGGTGAGATTTTTGTCCTTGAGTTAACCTCCTAGAACTTCCCCTGAAGGAGTGGCTTTACCTGTTTGTTGTTATGACAATGTTCAACCACCCCTCTGTGTACCCCACCCTTCACAATTTCTATGTAACTATGATGTAACGGGAAAGAGAAGGACAAGTAGAGGACTTTGAGGACTACGAGGAGACTAGGATGATGAAACTATGGTGACTGAGTCTACGACCAAAACTACGACTATAGATTGTGCTGTAAGGGGAGAGAACAGAGAAATAAACCGACTGGGGAGGAGAGAGAAATAAACCGACTATCGACCAGCCTGGGGCCCTGATTCTCTGTTCCCGGTCCTTTGTCCATCTCTCGCCATGGACCGGCCATGGGAAAGGTTCTTGGCCACAGACCATTCCAGTCCCGCGTGGGCTCACGCTTTTCTTTGAAACTCAACATGCCCATCTGAGTCTCAGGGTCCTTCCCACTGCGAGACAGAGCTGGACAGAGCTGGGCCTGTTATGACAATGAACTGAACTCTGTCTGGGCCCATCTGACACAAACAGCACTTGGTCTCCTTAAACGGCACTGGAACGAAGTACAGCGGGGAGGGTGTTTGCCTTGCACACGGGTGACCCGGATTCAATCCCCGGCATCCCATACGGTTCCCTAAGCACTGCAAGGAATGATCCCTGAGCACAAAGCCAGAAGTAACCCCTGAGCAGCACCAGTTGTAGCCACAAAACAACAACAAAAAAATCAAATTAAAAGAAAAAAAGACATCTCAAGCATAAACTCAAACCTGTTTCACTGTTTCCCTTCCACACAAGCCCTGTTCTAATACTTGCCTTCATTCTCCACAAGACTGTAAATGTCCACGCTCTTTCGTATTTTTGTTTTCCTTTTTGGGTCAGGCCTGGCAATGCTCAGGAGTTAGTCCTGGCTCTGCACTCAGGAATGACTCCTGGCAGGCAGTGCTCAGGAGACCATATGGGATGCTGGGAATCGAACCCGGGTCGGCCGCGTGCAAGGCAAACACCCTACCCACTATGCTATCGCTCCAGCACCAGTGTCCACACTCTTTCGAGGTCAGAAAACCACACTCCAGCAGAAATCCACCAGAGTTCCCCATAGGCAGAACCACCCCGGCTGGTTCCCCGGCACTGCTGGTCAATTCTCAGCCACCGCCCCAAGTCTCACCCTGATCTCAGGACTTGGGTAAAGCCAGAGACGGAAGTCGAGTCTCAGAAACTCATCGCAGGGCCTGTGTGGCCAGCAGCCCGGGGCCTCCCGCTCACTGTGTCCATCCCCCCCCCAGAAGAACGGAGCAATGAGCCTACCAGGCAGCCCACGGAGAGCAGCAGGTGGAGCAGCACGATGGCCAGGATTGTGGCCAGCGCCACGCGCCGGTTATCCTCGCGAACTGCCGGCCAGAACGTCATCACCAGCACGGAGCCTGAGACGCCCAGGGCCACTGTGACCAGGATCCACCGCACAACCCTCTGGGGGATAATCCACAGGATCTGGAAGGCAAGGAGGGAGAGGGGGCTGCCTGGGGGGGGTTTCAGAGGCAGTTCACCCCGGACGCCTTTGTGGGCGGTGAGGGTTTCCCAAGCAGTGCTCAGGGGGCCCGAGGGCCACTCCCCACAGCCCTCGGCCAGCCTGATGGGTGCACTGGCCTGCGGGTGCAGAGCTGCTCGGTCCATGGGGGGGACAAATGACCTGGGCCACCCCAGCAGTCTCAGGGACCTGCGAGGCTGACCCTGGTGATGTGCAAGGGACCGTGTGGTGCTGGCGATCAAAAGGGGTCAGCGCAGGTGAGGTCAGCGCCCTCCCCGGCCCTCGGGGCAGGTATCTAAAGGCCCCGAGGCCACCTGTATTTTCAGGTGAAAGCCCCTCCAAAGCTCGCAGATGGAGGGCGACCCTCTCAGCACCCCTGAATTCAAAGGGCATTTTTCAGGTGCTCATCAAGTGACCAAAGGATGGCACCGGCTGAACGTGCCCCCAGGCACGGCAGCTGGGTACCAGGCGTGGCACTCACCGCTGTGGGGATGTAGATGAAGAGGGAGTACCCGTAGACACACACGATCTCCAGGAACGAGTAGGACACGATGCTCATGACTTTGCTGTTTCTCCACACGAGGAAGCCCCAGAGAGCGAGGGGCACCAGCCAGGCGTAGGCATAGATGACCGTGGCCGCGATGGACACTGAGGGGGCCGGAGGGGGACGGGGGGGGGGATGCGGGGGGCGAGGGTCAGTTCCCATCACGCCCTCCACGCGCCACCAAAGGGCTCCCTGCACCTTCCTGGAGCCACAGCCTCACAGGCCCTAACACCGACCCCTCCTGGCCGGGCCTGGCCAGGTCCCGGCACTCAGCATGTGTGACCGGAGCATGTGCACCTGTCCTGGGGTTGCTCAGTGGCGAGAGCCAGCAGGTGCTCGCACGGTTCTCACCGTTCACTTACTAGCAGCAAACAGATGTCACAGAATTACTTTTGCCCCCGGGTTTGGAGCCACACCTGCAGACCTGGAGGCGCTTAGGAATTACTCCTGGCTCTGTGCTCAGGGATTGTTCCTGGCCGTGCTCGGTGAATCCTACGTGGTGCTGGGGATGAAACTAGGGTCCGCTGCATGCAAGGCAAGTGCCCTATCCACCGTACTACCTCTCCAGCCCCCTAAAATATATATCACAGATAACAGAAATGTAAAACTGAAATATCGAAAGGGTCACACAAGTATTTAAATAGATACTTGTTTAAAAGTACTTAAAGGTATTCATATATTTCATGAATGGGGTCCCGGAAAGACACCTCCAAGGGCCAGAGCCCATACTTTGCATGTGGGAGCCCCGGTTTAATCCCGAGTACCACATGGTCCCTGGAATTACGAGGTTAACGTGTCCTGCTTCTTTTTTTATTTTTATTTTGTTTTGTTTTGAGGAGATACCTGGCTATGCTCAGGAGTTACTCCTGGCTCTGTGCTCAGGAATTACTCCCGGTGGTGCTCAGGGGACCATACGGGATGCTGGAAATGGAACCTGGGCTGGCCACGTGCAAGGCAAGTGCCCTCCCTGCTGTAGAACATGTCCTCTTTCCTAGGAGAACTGGGGTGACACTGATTTCGTGAGCAAGCTTGTGAAGACGCGCTGGTCCAGATGGGCTCTGCATGCTGTTCAGAGTCTCCCTGTCTCTGCAGGAGGACCGACCCCCAGCTCCCACAGGAATGGCCTGACACAGGCCGGGGTGTCCGTGTTCCCTCTAAGTGGCTCTGCCATGGCTCAGAGCAGCCACGTTTTGTCGTATTTCTGAGCCTCCCTCTCCTCCACAGCAGCAGACTCCAGTGGATTCTCTTCCGTCTCCCAGGGCAGAAGACCACAGAGCTGGGCTACGCCCCCAGCACCAGCCTCTCCTACAAGGACCTAAGCAGAGAACTTCAACACTCCTGGCGAGCGCGAAGGCACCCCGAGAGGTTACAGGCAGAGTCTGTTTAGACACACAATTGTATTTCTTTTTATTTTTGGTTTTTGGGCCATCCCCAGAGGTGCTCAGATTTCACGCCTGACTCTGTACTCGGGGCTCACTCCTGGTGGTGCTCAGGGGACCCCCTTTGGTGCCGGGGATGAGACAGGGATCAGCTACGTACTAGGCGAGTGCCCTCCCCTCTGGATTCTCCCTGCAGCCCAACTGAAGTGTATTTAGGTCCCCAGGGAAACTCCCTCATTAAGCCAAAGGTGATTCTCCTGACACAGTGCCTTACTCATGGATGACTTGATAAAGGCAAAGTGACTTACTGCTCCCCTCTCCCCTGCCCACTGGGTACCAGGCTGAGAGAGCCTCTGGAAGACCCTACGGTAAGGTCAGACCCCGAGGAGTCTCATCTTAGCTCAGTGACTTATGGCTGAGTCAATGGGACAAAAAATTAAAATTTTTTTCTTTCTTTCTTTTTTTTTTTTTTCTGCTTTTCTGGGTCACATCTGGCAATGCACAGAAGTTACTCCTGGATCTGCACTCAGGAATTACTCCTGGTGGTACTTGGGGAACGATATGGGATGCTGGGAATCAAACCCGGGTCAGCCCGGGTACTATCACTCTGGCCTCTAGAATATTTCTTAAAACCTCTAGGCTTCGCTTCCTCATCTGTAAAATGAAAATATGTTGTATTGCCAATTGAGCCTACTTATGACAAAGATGACTAGGATTAAGGACCCATACCCTTAGGGGCCAGAGGGGCAGGTCAACCATAGAGCGCAGACTCTGTGTGCAGAGGTCAGGCTCAGTCCCAGGCACACACTTGGTCCTTTGAACACCACTAGGAGCAACTCTGGAGCACGTGGGGTATGGCCCCAAACCAAACATCTTAAAAAATGATAAGACTTGGGGCTAGAGCAATAGCACAGTGGGTAGGGCGTTTGCCTTGCATGCGGCCGACCCGGGTTCGATTCCCAGCATCCCATATGGTCCCCTGAGCACCACCAGGGGTAATTCCTGAGTGCAGAGCCAGGAGTGGCCCCTGTGCATCGCCGGGTGCGACCCAAAAAGCCAAAAAAAAAAAGATAGACTTAGAACACCAGTTTATAAATAGTAAGTGAGCAATCAGGAGTGAGATTTTTATAGTATTAATTATATGTACATAAGCTCTCTTTTTAAAGTTGGCTTCCGGGACACACCGGACAGGACTCAGGAGCCCATGTGGTACCAGAGAGAGAACTGCAATGGGAAGCTGAAGGTCTCGCTGCAGAGCCCGCGGGAAAGCAGGCTGGGGGTAGGGACGGCAGGAGACAGCAGAGGCCGCGGTGCCCACAGAGCCTCACTAGGGGGTGGCCGTCAGCTGTCCCTGAAAGCTGGGCTGCTTTCTTTAGTTCTCTGAGAGTCACAAGAACGGAAGTCTGAAGACCAGAAGACAAGACGGCTCCCGCCAGCCTGTCAGGGGAAGACATCCATCCCCTCCAGGCCAGACTTCCGGAGCAAAGCTGTCCACAAGCCTGAGCTTCCAGCGCCTCAGGACTGCTGGCTACAGACCCAGAGAGCAGAGTCCTCACAACTTGAAAAAGAAAAACCCACACAGGCACACAGTACCACCCTCCCACAGCTGGTGTCTCAGTCACCGCTTGTGGTTCTTTGAACCTTGACAGGAGTGAGCCCCAGCGCAGGGGCAGAGGGAGCCCTGGGCACCAGCAGGGGTGGCCCCAAACCAAGAAAAGGAAAGAGCAAAGCTAGTATCTCTGTCATTTGAATGACACCAACAGTGTCCTAATGGAGGCTCTGTCACATCATTTTTCACTTATTTTGTACAGTTTTCGTTGGATAAGTTCCAATTACTATTGGGGCCCTGCTTTAGGCTGTTCCAAAAGACTATTTACAATACCGATGAACACTTAAAGATTAAAATGGTCGCTTGGCCATTACATATGTTTTACCACTGTACCACTATAGCACTGTCCTCCCGTTGTTCGTCAATTTGCTCGAGCGGGCCCAGTAACGTCTCCATTGGAGACTTTGTTGTTACTGTTTTTTGGCATATCGAATACGCCACGGGGAGCTTGCCAGGCTCTGCCGTGCGGGCGGGATACTCTCGGTAGCCTGCCAGGCTCTCCGAGAGCCACAGTAAAAAAAAATTACGGAGGGTGGGGAGACCACCCAAAGGGCCAATGTGTGGGCTTTGCAGAAGGCAGGGGCTCTGGGTTTGAGCCTGGGTACCATATGATTCCCTGAACACCACCAGGAGCGATCCCTGAGCACTGAACTGGGAGCGGCACCAGAGCAGGGGTAGATGTGGTCCAAAAGCCACATCTGACAACAATCCAGCTTTATATATTTAGGAGTGGCAAATTCCGAGACAGTAAGTCTGTCCTGACCCAGAAATACAGACAGCACGGCCAGAGAGTGTAGTTCAACGGGCTGTGGTGCATGCTTAGTATACAGGTCACGGTTTGGTCGTCGGCAGCACCAGGAGAGACCCCCAAGTACAGAGCAGGGAGTGGCCCCAAAACCAAACCCCAGAGAGAGAAAGTGGGGGGCACGAGCCCACGGAGAGATGGGGGCTCGCGGTTCTAAAGCGACAACATCCTTAGGGGTCAAGCCACATACCAACCTTTTCGGAACTCGGGCACATAATGGTATGTCTTCTCTCCCAGGTGGATTAAGAAGTTGGAAAGATTCCCGCTGATCGATATGGCAAAGACCAAGGTGGCACAGATCCAGAAGGGGCCTGCGAAGGAAGCCGGGACATCCAGACACGAAATATTAGAGCACAAATCTTCAAGCCCCGTCACAGAGTAACTTCTTATTTTCCATGTCCTACTCTTGTAAGCGAGGGGAAGTGAATTTTAGATCGAATCAATACTCATTTAGTAGGAATTTTCTTTGCTAAAAGATCAAACATAATTCATTATTTAGCTTACTTATGAAAAGATAGGAGGGCGTGGGAGGCAAAGGCCAAAACACCTTTCATAATTAAGTGTATAAACAGACAAATTTGTTTCAGGTCCTTTTATTGAAGGATTCCATCCCCCCTCCCCCCCCAAAAAAAATAAAGGAAGCAAGAAAAAAAGTCACGGATTTCGTGTTAAATCTTTACCAGGTTACGGCAAGTGCAGATTACAGAGGAAAATAAATCAGAGCACTCCTTCCACTGTCTCTGTGGAAGAGTAGGTCAGACAGAACACCTCAGGGAAAAGATGATTTAATCTGCCATTCGCCATGCATGCGTGCGTGCGTGCGTGTGTGGGCCTGCATGTCTGTGTGTGTGTGTCTGTGTGTATGTCTGTGGTTTAAGTCTTCATCGTTGACTTTGGGTGAAGAAGCGTAACATGCACACAGTTCAGTCTTCAAGAAGTACAAAGGAGGGCTGGGACGATAGTGCAGTGGGTAAGGTGCTTGCCTTACACGTGGCTGGCCTGGGCTTGGTGCCCAGCACCCCATATGGTCCCTGATCAGAGCCAGGAGAAAGCTCTGAGCACTGCCAGGTCTGGCCTCCGGACCTCCAGCAAAATAAAGCAACACGTACAAAGGAAAGAAAGAGAAAAATCAACTTCCTCCCTCTTTGTTCTCTAGCCCTGAACTTCCCCTCTCCAGAGCTCATCGCCCTAACGAATACCTGTAAATCTTGCTGGATTTTTTTATTCGCGTTTAAGCAAATGTCTATTGGCATGTGTTCCGGTGTGTGGGGAGGGTATATGGGCACATATAAATCACTTTCACTTCAGCATAACCTGGATATTCTATCATAACTATCCATCATAACCAACTTCTTTTGGGGGTGGAAGTCTCCCAAGCAATGCTCAGGAGTCCCAGGGTCCCTCCCAGTGATTTTTTTGCTTTTTTGGTGGGGGGTGGGCACATCTGGCTATGCTCAAGGCTTACACCTGGCTCTGTACTCAAGGACCACCTGGGAATCCAGGGACCAACCCTGGCAAGGCAAGCGACCTACCCACTGTCCCATCTCCCCAGCCTGACTCCTGGGCAGCCGGGCAGGTGACAGTGCAAGAGTCTGAGCACGTGAGGCTGCTCAGGTCCTGCGGTGCCAAGGATAACTTGGGCCACCCGGGAAATGCTCGGGGGGTTCTAGGACCACACCCAGTGATGCACTGCTCCAAATTCCTCAGGTCTTCACTCGAAATTCCCCTCCCCACTTTCTTAATGTAAAGAAGCTTCAAATTTGCCTAACTACAAGACATTTCCTGTCCTCTACTTTCAAAGTTTTTATCCTAGGGGATCCACGGGGATGGCTTCAAGGACCAGAACGCCAGTGTTGCACGGGGGAGCCCTGGGTCCAATCCCCAGCACTGCAGGAACCCCCAGTTCTAGCAGGTGCGACCCTGTAAGTAAATAAACAAAAATAAGAGCTTGTCTTACTATTCATCACTACCAAGCAATCTAGCTTCCTGTTTTTGTTTACTAAGTTCAGAAGGTCAGAAACTATCTCAGGGCAGGACTCTGGGCTGTGATTCTGTTGCGTCTCCCAAATACTAAGTGCCCCATGATGGCTGAAATAACTGAATGAATGAATGAGTCAAGACAAGTCAGTCTACATGTTTGCTTTACAAGATGACCAGAGGGGTTGCAGAGATATGACGGCAGGTGGGTGGATACTATGGATGTGGCTGACCTAGGGTTAACCCCCAGCACCCCAGAAGGTGCCTCCAGCCCGGCCAGGACTGGGAGCAGAGCCAGGAGTAGGACCTGAGACCACTGGGTGTGGCCCAAATGCACAACAAACAGGGTGGCCAGAAATAAGATCACGTTTTTATTTCCCTAATTAGGGGGGCGGGGGCCCTAAGCATCTCCTCATTCATTTACGGGGCTGCTGGGTCTCCTCATCTGTGACACGCCCACTCCCCCCACAACTGGGATAGACAGGCACCCCACCTACAGTCTTATTCTGTGCCCCTCCATGGTGAGGCACTTTGCAATTATCATCTCTGACCTCTTCTGTCACTTATGGTTTCTTTTTTTCTTTCTTTCTTTCCTTTTTTTATTTTTTTATTTTTTTTGGCTTTTTGGGTCACACCCAGCGATGCTCAGGGGTTCCTCCTGGCTCTGCACTCGGGAGTTACTCCTGGCAGTGCTCAGGGGACCATATGGGATGCTGGGAATCGAATCCGGGTCCGACACGTGCAAGGCAAACACCCTACCAGCTGTGCTATCATTCCAGCCCCTGCTTATGGTTTCTTTATGGGGAGAAAAGCTCTGATTCTGCTGAAGGGTAGAGACCCTCACCGCTCTTTGTCTCAGGTTCTGCCGACCAGCAGCTATCCTATCCCCTTCCTGTTGTCTTCCTGGCCGCCTTCCTGCCCTCACCCAGCCCTGCCCAGCGCTCTCCTCCATGAAACTCCTCCTCCCGCATCGTGGCGTCTCTCTCCCGTCAGGTCTACGAGCTCTCAAGGGCCCCTGGCAAGTAGCAGGCTGCGGGCTCACACCTGGACTCTCGGCTGAGAGCGAACCCACGCCCTGGACTCCAGCGCTGACCTGAACCCGAGCGCGACTGCTCGCGAGCTACTTCCCGGTCAAGGTACGTGGCCCCCGTGGGACTCGGAGTCCTCAGGAGTATGGCAGGAGAATGACAGTGACACAGACCCAGCGAAGCTGGGAGCTCAACTCTGGGACCACAGGCTCTCCCCGGGGGCCCGTAACAAGCCCCGTCTGCGTGGGCCCTGGCTGTCATTATCGCTCACTCTGTGACTCTGCTCGGCTTAGTCTCCCGCCCCGAATGGCGATTTTCTCTTCTGGAAGCAAAGTCTCCCTGGCAGTGTGGAAATCTGCGCGTTTGGATGAGACGATCGGAGAGTGCTGGGCCCAACCCCTGCCTTGTGGGGAGCTGACAATGGCAGTTTCTCCTCTCCTTCCCCTTGGGGGCAGCCACGTCTGTATCTTTAAATCTTTAGTTTCCAGCATCAAGATTGATGCCCACAAGTTGCGTGGGATTTGTCTGTGCCAAGCCCTTGGCCAGGGGCCCACCTGGGTCCCTCAGACTTACAGCCCACCCTTCAGGAGGTCCTCGGGACGAAAGTAAGGAGGAAGGAGGGGGCGGGGGGGGAATCCCTTGGCCATATGCGGAGCTTCTGTCTTTCAAGAGGAGGAGCTGAAGGAAGGGCGGCACGCAGGCACCCCACTGGCCTGGCTCTAACTCTCAGGCTTCGTGCCTTCCCAGGGAAAGAGCATGGCAGGAAGGTCCTTCTGCAGCCCCGGAGGACCAGGCTAGCTGAGCAGAAGTCAGATGAAGAAGTGAAGCACCGGGCTGGGTTCTGGCTCTCCCTTCTGGGGCCAGAGCTCTCAGCCTCCTCCCCTCACCACGACACGCAGCACTGGACCAGGGAGACGGGGCAGTGGTTGAGGCGCTTGCTGTGCAGAAGGCAGACCCCAGTTCAATGCCCTCTTCATCCCCAGTGCCGTGTCTAGTCCCATGAGCACCACCAGGAGGGACCCCTGGGCACAGAGCCAGGAGGGGGCCTGGAGCAACCACGCCCTGTTATGGGACTGCTGATGGCCATGGTCACTGGCACGTGGTCCACTGCCTCCCGCTTGCTCTGTCTCCTGTGACCAACGTCTAAAACTGCTCCTGCCTTCCTGCTTCAGTGCTAAGCCTCACTGGGTGTCCTTCCCAAGCGAGAACAAAGAAAATCCCCACCCCTACCCTAACCCCCCTGTGACCGTGACAATCTAAAGGGGGCACAGTCCAGGTGTCTGGTGGAGCACTGCACCCAGGAAGCACTTCGACCCACTGCCTCACTCTCCCCCAACACAGGTCACCTTTCCCTAGAAGGGTGGGGGCTTGGAGGAGCAAGACAGGGGGAGCCACCCACTTCCCTGGATGATGATAGGGAAGCCAAAAGATACAGAGCCACAGAGGTAGTACAGTGGGTAGAGCACTTGCCTTGCATGTGACTGACCCTAGTTCAATCCCTGGCGTCGTACACAGTTCCCCAAATACCACCAGGGGTGATTCCCGAGCACAGAGCCAGGAGTAAGTCCTGAGCATAGCCACGTTTGGCTCCAAAGCAAGGAAGAACCAAAAGAAAGGGGCGTGGAGAAGGGCGGTCACTCACATACCATAGAGGTCCGGGTTGCTGCGGATGTATAACCTCACAAAATTCTTTCCAGGTATCGGCAAGAGGGACCCTTTTATTCTGTCAAAGACCTGGAAAACCCAAGGTAGGAAGTCAGTAAAAAAAAAAAAAAAAATTTTTTAAGTTTAATCAATTCAGTGCCTACAAAATGACAACACAGATATTAGAGCCTTTCTGATGATTTTCTCGAATCTTATGACCCTGCGCTGAGGCTCTCGTGTGACCTGCCTGACCACTGAAGAAGCAACTCTCTGACACAAGTCACAGAGAAGGCAGAACTGGTTTACAAACCTGGTACGTGTCAACATCGAAGAACGTCTGGTAGAATTCGAATGTCCAGAAAGGGGAGCTTTTCTTCTGCCCCGCCAGCAACTGTCAGAGGGAAAATGAAACAGTGAAAACCCAGCGCCTGGGGCTGGAGCGATAGCACAGCGAGTAGGGCCTATGCCTTGCACGCGGCCAACCCAGGTTCGATTCCCAGCATCCCATATGGTCCCCTGAGCACCGCCAGGAATAATTTCTGAGCGCATGAGCCAGGAGTAACCCCTGAGCATCGCTGGGTGTGGCCTAAAAAGAGAAAAGAAAGAAAGAAAGAAAACCTAGCGCCTAAGTGGACAATTCGAGTGCTTCCCTTGGCAGTAGCCATGCCCCGCGCTGGGCTAGCTCTGAAGCCACATGGCCATACTGTGCATTGAGGGGGCAGATTCGGCAGATCACTGGGCTCAGTCTAAGTTCCCCTTCTTTTGAGAGGGGTGGTGGTAGGGGCGCAGCGGGGAGACTGAGCCCAGGGTCTCAGACATGCAAGGCCGGTGCAGTCCCACCTAACTCCCTCCCGGCCCTCTCTGAAGTTTTCCTAGCTAAAAAGTACAGCAAACAAATCCCCCTCACAGGATTATAGGGAGGACATGAGTAAACAGTCACATAATGGGCAATACGCAACTATGTGGAGGCTAGAGAGAGTCCAGCGGGTAGGGTGGTTGCCTTGCACACGCCCGGCCGACGTTTGAGCCCAGAAACCCCATAGAGTACCCAAACGCCACTGGGAGTGATCCCTGAGCACAGAGCCAGGAGAAAGATCCGAGCACCACGGGGTGTGACTCCCAATGAAAATAAATAAATCTATGTGTACACACACACACACACACACACACACACACACACGCAAACGCACACACGCATGCACGCAGAAGCAGTCTGTGGGAGTATCTTTTCCCTCCTGTCCCTTCCATGTCCTTACTACTAACACTGCCTGAAGCCCCATACACCGACTCACCAAAGCATCACTGACTTAAGTACCTGCCCTGACAGGAAAACAAGGCAAGTGAAGGGCACTCACTGGTTAGGGCAGACCCAGGCTAGGAATGCCACCTGAGCCAGCAGCAGAAAAGGGGACAGAGCCAGGCAGAGGGACTGCGGAGTGGCAGGGCAGCAACTGTCCCCTTACAAAGGACGGGGTTCTCCATGGACGCCAGTGGTGGCTGCTGCTTTACACGTCACTGCTGAGGTCTGGCCCGTCCCCCGATGGCGGGCTCCCTGTCAGACTCTGAAGCAGGGGACAGGGGGTGGGAGGTGCTTTCCAGCCCTCACTGATGAGACCCTGAGCAGCAGAGACACAGCCCAGGGCGAGGCTGAGGAACTCTGTCACCGGCTGGAACAGGGACCCCTCTGCCCAACTCCCCAAGTGAAGCTAACGGGCAGTTTCCTGTTTCGATTGTTCCACGACTGTTCCCCTCTCCGTTTTCCTTCTCCTCCTTCTCCCCTTCTCTCTCTCCTCCTCCTCCTCTTCTCTCCACCCAGTAGTGCTTAGGACTGATTCCTGGCTCTGGGTTCGGGGATCACTCAGGAGGGGCTCCAGTGACCTCAGAAGATCCAGGGAACTGCATCAGGGTCAGCTGAGAGCCAGGCAAGTGCCCTCCCCGCTGTCCTCTCTCTTGGCCCTCGGAGCTGCCCAGTCTGCTGCTGCCCAGTCCCAAGATCCACGTCATGGGCTGGAGCGATAGTACAGTGGGGAGGGTGATTGCCTTGCACACTGCTGACCCGGGTTCAATTCCCAGCATCCCATATGGTCCCCCAAGCACCGCCAGTAGTAATTCCTGAGTGCAGAGTCAGGAGTAACCCCTGTGCATTGCCAGGTATGACCCCCCCCCCAAAAAAAAACACACCAAGATCCACTTCATGTGTCAAACAACCTGGGCCACAGGCAAAGGCACCTGGTCCAACAGTGGGCTCTTGTAAGCAGGTGTTTGGCTTGGGTCTCTGCTCCCTGGGGCGGATGCTCTGAGGAAAGCTGACTGCCCTCCGTGGCGCCCAGGCCTCAGCCAAGTCAGGCTCAGACCGGAGAGAAGAGAGGCAGCGGCTGCCTAGATACCGACTCCTCTTGGCCCTTCAGTGCCGACTCCCGCCTGAGTCGCCAGCCCACCGGCCTCCCGTGGCAGACCCTGGATTTGCCAGGCAGCCACGATGGCACGGACCCGTTCTCTCAGACAAATCTCCTTCCAGGGAGCTGAGGCTTGGGACAGAGCATCCGCCCTGCATGTGTGGGGCCACAGCCACGTCCCCGCAGCACCCGCAGGTCAGCAAGCATCATGCAGGGACCGGCTGGCAGCACTGTCAGCTTCTTGGCCAGGCTCCGCACCCCGGCCCCTGGCACATCATGACCACTGGTGGGGGCTCTGGGCACCGAAATAAGGCGAGGATGACCCACTGAGAGGAGGAAAGGGAGCAGGAGGCGACAGGGCAGTGGGGAGGGTGCCTGCCCGGCACACAGCCAACCCCTCCCACCGCCTCTCGCCCCTGCCCGACTCTGGGTCAGGGTTGGCTGTTCCCAGCCCGGCCGCTTCAGTAATCTACGCCGCGGCCGCCAGCCTCCGGCCCGCCTCCTGCAATGCACTCCCCACAGCTGCCGTGTTTCACACGCCTTTGAGCTTGACACCGCAGGCCAAGTGGCTTGAAATCGTTCCAGTCGCTCCCAGTAGTTCTCAGAACGCAGGTTACCCTCGCGAGACCGACACTTCGTGGCGTCTCGGTGTGGCCGCCTCTCCTGCCTCCACAGGCCCTTTGCTCTTACAAGTGCAAAGACAGGAGATGCATATAGGCTGCCTACCTAGTCTTCTCACGCCACTGTGGATTTTGCCTAAACTGTCCACACTGCCAGATGGCTGGGCCCCGCCTTCTTCCCCGGCTCCCGCCCACACTCAGGGGACAGTGCCTCCAGGGAGCACCCCCAGCCCCACTCGCTTCCCAGGAGCCTGGTCATCCCCTTCACCAGAGCTTTCCATGGGAATCAGTGGGAAGCTGCTCCCCCGAGGCAGACACAGTGACTGCCCCAGAGTTTGCCAACGCTGGACCCTGGCACACAGCAGACAGTGAACGGAAGAAAAGAAAAAGTGTGCGCAGGGGCTGGAGCAATAACACAGCGGGTAGGGCGTTTGCCTTGCACGAGGCCGACCCGGGTTCGATTCCCAGCATCCCCTTTGGTCCCCCGAGCACCACCAGGGGTAATTCCTAAGTGCATGAGCCAGGAGTAGACCCTGTGTATCACCAGGTATAACCCAAAAAGGAGAAAAAAAACAAAAAACAAAAAACACGCGCACCTTTTTTTCTTAATGAGAGGGAAACAGCAATGTCAAAGACAAGCTCGAACCTCAGTTTTGTCAGAGTCGTCATTTCCGTTGCCCAGTAACTCCTCGTCCTCTTCTCTCCTGGGGGCCCTGGAGGGTCCTGGCTGATGCCTGGGCGTTTCACCAGGATCACCGATGTTTATTGTGGTGGCATCTGGGTTTGCCACCAGAGAAGCAGCCGGATCACCAAATCCTGAAACTGATGAGAGCACAGGTCGTCAGAGGCCCGACCCACGCCGGAAACGCTTCCCCACTTAAAGCTGCTCCAACCTCAGCTTTGCTGGAACCCCATCTACGACTGGTAGAAAAGCGGTTTTGGCAAAAATCCTTAGCTCAAGAGCAGCTGACTTAGAACCTGATAAAAACAACAGAATTCGGGTGTGAGAACTGCATTTAGTCCTGGTTCAGCTGTTTGCTAATATGATCTGACCGTGTAAGTTAACTTCCATAATCCTCTGTAAAAATTTCTGAGAAAGTAATGGGTGTAACCTAAGTCCTCAGTAGAGTGTCTGGCCTGTAGCAAGTATCCATTCTAAATTTCTCTTCTTTTTTTTTTTCTTTTTGGGTCACACCCGGTGATGCACAGGGGTTACTCTTGGCTCATGCACTCAGGAATTACTCCTGGCGTGCTCAGGGGACCATATGGGATGCTGGGAATCGAACCTGAGTCCACTGCATGCAAGACAAACGCCCTACCTGATGTGCTATCGCTTCGGCCCCCAAAACTTCTCTTCTTTAACTTAAAAAAATAAAAAACCCAAAAAACAAAAAAAATAATGGACATCATTTTCCGCCCTTCCCCATAAGCGCTCTGTAATCTATATGGAAAACACGAGGACCAAAATGAAAGTGTGGCCAGCATGTACCAGCGTGAAGAGGAGGGACAGAGAGTGCCCCTTCCTGACTGCAGAGGCTCAGAGGGTCCCAGGAGGAGGACAGTTCAGGTGAAGCATTAGAAATGGCTTCTGGGGAAGACGCCCCCAGGGAAGGACCCTCCAGGGGAAGAAAAGAACACCCGGGGGGAGGGGTAGCCTCTCGCGATCATGTACCCCACATCGCGGACGGCATCTCTGGGCTGGACTCTAGGGCATGCGAGCCTCTCACATGGAGGCCGTCACGTGTCATGCTTTAGGTCATCACCGTCCATCTGGAGTCCCGGGGCAAGGCGGGTGCATTCCTGAGTTCTGCCATCAGCCTCGTCTGTGTCCCTCACCAGGCACAGCTGGCACCATGTCCTGCCCCTGCTCCTCTCCCGCCCAGAGGACCCTGCTGTCCCTGAGCTGACAGAATGTTGCTCCCAACCTCCACAGCATTCTGGGTTCTATACATACTCTGTGCCTCAGTTTCCCACGGACCAGACAAGGATAAGTAATGATCTCATCAAGCTGACCTCAGGACTAGATGGGCTCCTCTTTGTAAGTACTCGACCAGAGTCCAGCGCTTCACACGGATTTTAAGGGGAGGAAGCGGTCCTCAACCCAAGCCTGTCTCACTCAGAAATGAGCAGGAATTTTTTCTCTTTTTCCAGCACCTGCATTCCGCAGCTCTATTCTAACGTCACCTAACAAAGGAACATCTCCTTTGCTAGGCTGTTCTGTGAGCTTCCCTTTCTCGGATAACCGCATGTTCTGATTCATGGTCAGACTAAAAAAACACTGACACACTGATAACTACACGATGGCATTGCAGCAGGATGATCTTTTTAGGCTTTTTTTTTTTTAAGGGAGCGGGTGCTCAGGGATTACTTGGTGTTTGGGATGTCACACTTGCTGTGTTCAGGAGACCATGCCGCACACAACAAGGGTCTCACGTGAGCCAAGCGAGCGCTCTCACACCCCGAGCCACCTCCCTGGTGCTCTTTCTATATCTTTACTTCCTCCAGCTGCGCAAGAGCTTCTCTTGTATTTTTTTCTCCCATCTCTTCCATCTAGGACAGTTCTAAGTACACAGTAGGTGCTCAATAACTGTTTACTGAAACAAAGGTCTACACGCCTGCTCTGCAATCACTATGCAGAACTTATGTTAACAATCTGAGGAGCTACTGGGCGTGGTGGGGGACGGGCAGGAGAGACAGTACAGCTGGAACGACAAATGGAAAACTCTGAGTGACCGATATTCTTTCGCCAGACTGTCTGCAATGATCTTCCAACACAGCCATGAGAAACTGTTGATGAGGCTGCGAAATACTAATCACAAGGACCCGGGGCTCCAAACCCTGTACCTTCGAACTGCAAGTCATCCACGGCTGCCATTCAGCCAGAGGGGCTTCTCCCTGGCAACAGTAAGCAGCTTTGCAGAGATCTGAAAGGGGAAAACGAATGAGCTCAGCAGAGCAGCAAAATCAAACATCCTCCAACAAGCCTGATTCCAGCATTAGAAACAGTATCCTCTTCCCTAGCCCCCTTTATTGAGCCGGAAAAAATAGTAACAATAACCATTTAGCACAGGATATTATTAACACACACTTAAAAGAGGCTTATCTTGGGAGTCCAAAGGTTCTGACCTCACACTCCCCGTGAGTGGGTGAGAAGCAGGGGCTGGAGCCGAGAGATAGTACTACAGGGAAGGTCCTTGCCTTGCCCGCTGCCCACTAGGCTTCCAACCCCAACACCCCATACTGTCCCCTGCGCCCACCAGGAGTGATCCCTGAGTTCAGAGTCAGGCGTCAGCCCTCAGCACTGCTAGGTGTGGCCCAAGAACAAACCAACAAACCAAGAACCGAGGCAGCCTGGGGAGAGAGGAAGGAATGGCCTTGAGGAACTGAGCTCTGAGGTTGAGAAAGGTAACTGCATTTCAGCTGAGCCGGTGGCTGAGGACACAGGCACCCGGGACAGACAGACCTGGCTGCGTGATTCTCAATTCTGTAGCTTCTCGCTGTCACTGTGGGGGGGGCGGGGTTCCTCGAGGCCTCAGTTTCCTCATCTGTAAAATGGGTTTATAGTGGTACCTCTTCGCACGGAGCGTGCTAGAGGCCGATAAATGGGGCAGGGAGTGCCAGGAGCTTAGTGGCCCGGCTAAGCAGTTAGTAGGTGCAAGTGGGAGGGAGGGCGACTCTGCACCTGCACCCAGCTGGTCTGGGGCGGGGGAAGCAGCCCCGGAAGCGAGCGGTGCTTTAGGGGCAGGACTGAGCGGCCCAGGCCCCAGGGGGCAGCAACTCCCGGGAGGACCCGCTGTCCAAGCCGCCTCACCTGGGGGACCCGATGTCCACTCCGCCCCGCGAAGGTTTGGACTCAGATGCTCGCGCCGGTTCCGGTCCCGCACAGCCGCCGGAAGCCGGAGATCCGGGAGGCGGGTCCTCTCGGAGCCCCGCCTTCTTAAAGACACAGGCGTCCGCGGGAGCCGCGGCCGCCCGGGACCGGCCGGCGCGCGGGGCCGGCTCCCTCCCGCCCCTCGGGAGGCGGGGCTCGGGGCCTTAAAGAGACAGCGCGCGCGCCCGGCGCCGTGGGAAAGCGGGCACCCGCCCAGGGAGTTTGCGGGAGTTTAGTTCGCGTTGTTGACGTCTCCGCTCTCGTTGAAGGATCAAAGAGCGCATCGGGCTCTAGTAGGAGGAAAGAAGAAGGCACCGGCCCCTCCTCTGCTCTCATCCTAAACGTGGTCTGGAGGGAGGGAACGCGCTCCCCTCCGGGCTGGCAAGGGTGTGACCGAGGGGCAGCCGGGAAATGGGCGTGGGGAAGGCGAGGGGGCTCGGTCCGTTCTGTCCCATTCTGCCCAGACAGATGCTCTGAAAACCCCAGAAGAAACAGACAAGCTTTTCCGATGGGAAATGCTTTGCCCTGTTGGAAGGCTGAAGGCTTTGTCCCCCCCCACCCCCAGCCCTGCAGATGGGGGGACCGGCTTAGACACCTCCCCCGGCCCTGCAGACCAGGGAACCCGGCTTAGAACCCCGCACTCACAGCCCTGCAGGTCAGGGGGACCCGATGTAGGACCCCTCTCTCACAGCCCTGCAGAACAGGGAATCCGGTTTACAACCTCCCCCCCACCCCAAAACCCTGCAAATCCGGATTCAGGACCCGGCTTAGACCCTCATACAGTCCTGCAGGTCAGGGAAGCCGGTTTAGACAGCCCCCAGCTCTGCAGAGGCTTAGCTCCCCCCCTACAGCCCTGCAGATCCGGGGACCTAGTTGAGACGCCCCCACAGTCCTGCCCATCCGGAGACCCGCTCTGATCCCCACAGAGCCTTGCAGTCCCGGGGACCCAGTTCAGACAGGCCCCCACCCCCACAGCCCCCGCGGGCCCGCTTAGATCTCCACCGCCCTGCGGACCCTCTTTCCCCGCCGGAGAACACCTTTGCTCCCTAGTCGTGAGGTCTTATCTCCCAGGGCAGGCTTGCTCCTGGACCACCTCTGAGTGCCACGGACCAGGATCAGGGGTGGTGCTGGGAACCCGGTCAGGCAAGTCCTGGGTCAGGGAGAGGGATTTGTTCACTGAGGGTAATTGTCAAGTTCTGGCAGTGTGGACCGTACAGCCAGGGTCACAGGCTTCAGCAAGGTGGACCCTCACTGCACTGGACTCTGTGGTCAGTTGGAAAGAATTTACATCTGACTACTAATAATTGTATGTATTTATAAAATATATTCTTACAGATAACCGTATGGCTGAAGCATATAAAATAATTATAAATTATATCATACCTATGTATGTGCTAAAGGTCTTACTCCCTGCCTGGAATGCACAGAGCACACGCTTTGCATGTAGGATGTTCCTCAAGTATCACAGGCTGTAACTCCCCACTGTACCCCAGCTTAGAGCCCTTAAGCCCAGCATTGCATGGCCTCCAAACAAACAGAACAAACCCCTTTGATTTCCAGAACACTCCTTGAAACTTGAGGTGATGAACCCCGTTTTACAGAGAGATCTGAAGCTTAGAGTCATTCCTGGCACTGTTCCTTGACCCCGTGCCAGCATTGAGACTCAGTTCCCAAATCAGATCTGCAAGTTCGAGCAACGCCCAGAGATACCTCTCAGGCCCTACTCCGCTCCTCTTAGCCTCACCCGAGTCCCCTTCAGCCTACCTCCTGCCTTAGCTGCTCTAGACTGAGTTTCCTCTCAAGCCCGGATTCCTCCTACTGCATCAGAAAGGGTCTCACACCCTTGGGCAATGGGACCTGGAAGTGCATCCCAGAAGTGCTGGGGTAGGCAAATCTGTGACCCACGTGGCAACACTGAGGAACACATCCTTCTCTTTCTCCCTTGGATAGATGTCTGCAGGCGTTTCGCATCCAGTTCAAAATGGCATGCAGGATCAAGCGACCAAATGATCTAAAAATATAAAATAATTATAAATTACGTAATACCTATGTGTGAGTTAAAGGTCTAATTCCCTGCCTGGAACCTGAGAGATATCTCAATGGACAGAGTGCACACTCTGTGTCATGCCCAGCAGAGAGGGATGCTTTGGGTGTCTAGTCCACCCGTAGGGAAGGGAAGGTGTGTTCCAGCATGCGGCTACTCAAGCCCAGGAACTCTAAGAGGCTGTGGAAGAATTTGCCTAAAATTTAAGGGAGTCACTGGGTACCTCAGGATTTGCACAATTTATTCTTATTGATGAGGCTGGAGCGATAGCACAGCGGTAGGGCGTTTACCTTGCGCGCAGCCAGTCTGGCCGAGCCGTAGTTCGATTCCTCTGCCCCTCTCGGAGAGCCTGGTAAGCAACCGAGAGTATCTCGCCTGCACGGCAAAGCCTGGCAAGCTACCGGTGACGTATTCGATATGCCAAACACAGTAACAACAAGTCTCAAAATGGAGACGTGACTGGTCCCGCTCGAGCAAATGGATGAACAACGGGAGGACAGTGTTTGTTTGTATTATTATTGATAATAATAAATCGGCAATTGGACACAAGAGCATTTGAGGGGTCAAATCTAGTTCAGTTTAAGTTGCTGGTCAAGGGTGGGGAACATCTAAAACAAGTGTGGAGGGAGGCAATAATAAAGATTAATTTTGGCCTTGACACCTTTTTTTGCAGCTTTTGAATGGGGTTTGTTTTAATAATCATGTGGTTCCAATTCTTTGCCAAATTAAGGCTGTGAGAGAGAACACTGGGGGCTCAAATTTCTTACTCCCCAGCCTTAGGGAAGCTATAAGGATATCATGATAGTCACAAAATAGAAATTAGATGTGCATGCTACTTTAAAATATCATAATGGTTAAATTCTTATCACTAATATAAAACCACATGTTACTTCCTTTACTGAGGAAGTGTCAGAGAAAAAAATTAGCTGAGTTGTAGGAGTGATAGTACAGATGGTAAGTGCTGGCCTTGCATGCAGCTGACCTAGGTTCGATCCCTGGCATCCCATATGGTTCCCTGAGCCTACAGAAGTGATTCTGGAGTGCAGGGCAGGAGTAAGCCCTGAGTATCACTGGGTATGAACCAAAAACAAAACACTCACACATATGCATGTGCGCACATACACACACACACACACACATACAACCACCCTGAAATTTATCCATTTCCATTCTGGGCAAGTTCCTTTTCTCCTGTGACCAGTGACAGAGGGTCTGCCGGCTGTTGGTCCTCACCCTAGGGACCACTGGCTATCATCAGAAAAGCTTCATTCCCCTGCAAAGGACTTCAACAATGCAACTTTTCTTCTGAGTGACATACAAGCCCGGAAGAATCAGGATTTCAAGTTCTACTCAGTGATCAAATGTACATCTTGTACGCACAAGACCTGGGTTCAGCTGGAACCACACTAAAAAAAAATGGAAAAACAAAGAGGGTCAGGGAGATAGTTACCTTGCACATAGCTGACCCGGGTTCAATCACCAGCACCAGTATGGTACCCTGAACCTTGCCAAGCATAATCGCTGAGTATTGAACCTGGAGTAAGCTCTGAGCACTGCCGGCTATGGCCCAAAAGCCAACAAAAGAAAAAAGAAAAGCAAAGAAATCGGGTTCTTCTGCAGAGGAGAGAAGGAATGGGGGTACTGTGGCAGGTATCTACTCATTGTTTCACTGCCTCTTGTCCCATAAGTCATTCCACCCTTCTAAGCCCCAGTTTTCTTCTAAAATGGGGCTCACAATACCTAATGTGAAATGTTAGGTGTCTTTTTTTAAAATTTTGTGCTGTAATAATAGGATTAATAGGACTTTTTTGGGGGGGTCACACTTGGCTATGCACAGGGGTTACTCCTGGCTCTGCACTCAGGACTTACTCCTAGTGATGCTCGGGGGACCATATGGGATGCTGGGAATCGAACCTGGGTCAGCCATGTGCAAGACAAATGCCCTACCCACTGAGCTATCCCTCCAGCCCCTTGATTGGACTTTGCTATTTTAAATAGATCATATAGATGTTAAATAAATTTCACTGTTTATCCAACTTTATTTTATTGTTGGTTACTGGGTTTAATTAATACAAATAACGTTGCAATAAATATGTATTATGTAACCTGTACTCTGGGCTTTTCGACTTTTTCTCAGTAGCTTCCAAACAGTACAGCTATTTGGTTACAGAGACAATCCCTTTTACCTTTGTTTTGTTTGTTTGTTTGTTTGGGGCCACACCTGTGGTGCTCAGGACTTATTCATGGCTTTGCACTCAGGGATCATTTCCAAGTGGAGGGCATGCAAGGCAAGCACCCAACCCACTATACTATCTTTCCAGCCCCAGGAAGTCCCTTTAAAAGTCCAGTCAAGGGGCTGGAGAGATAGCACCACCAGGGGTAATTCCTAAATGCAGAGCCAGGAGTAACTCCTGTGCATTACCAGGTGTGACCCCAAAAAGCCAAAAAAAAAAAAAAAAAGGCGGTCATGGAAATCAGGTGATCTTCCCATTTCTGTCCAGGTGAAAGATACTTGGAAGTCATCCTCTATCCTTTTTAAAATAAACAAGCAAGTGCCCCCAAACCA